GATTTTTTTTTTTTTTTTTGCAACATGCCACTTTCCCTTTAAATGAAGAAAACAAAATTGGGGATCTTGTGGGCACAGTGATTTCGGGCATGCATTACTTGTGGATGCATTCAGACTGCAACAGTACAAACTGAGGACTAAGTGTGGAACGACAGGTCTTTGGTTCATTGGGGAAATTGATTGTTTCCTGGAGTTATCGGTTGAACCGGTAAGGCCCAGAGACACCTACATTTTAGCCTGGGCAAATTCGTTTATACAAGGATATAATGTTTCTAAGATTGCATATTGTATTAAGCTATGGCTTGTTTAATCATGGTTTAACAAACCACAACCAGCTGCATTCTCACCATGTCAAGTCATAAACCATGTTTCAGAAGCCCCACTGGCTGGATTATCATTAGATAGCATGCTGAGGCAATAGTGATATGGCTTAGCAGAGGGCATGATTCAGACTATAGTTGGGGTATTGTTGTTGTTGTTAGTTGCGAAGTTGTGTCCGACCCATCGCAACCCCATGGACGTTTCTCCAGGCCTTCCTGTCCTCTACCACCTTCTGGAGTCCATTTAAACTCACGCCTACTGCTTCAGTGACTCCATCCAGCCACCTCATCTCTGTCGTCCCCTTCTTATATTGCTCAATCTTTCCCAGCATTAGGCTCTTTTCCAGTGAGTCCTTCCTTCTCATTAGGTGGCCAAAGTACTTGAGTTTTAACTTCAGGATCTGGCCTTCTAAAGAGCAGTCAGGGTTGATTTCTTCTAGGACTGACTGGTTTGAACGCCTTGCAATCCAAGGGACTCGCAGGAGTCTTCTCCAGCACCATAGTTCAAAGGCCTCAATTCTTTTGCGCTCAGCCTTTCTTATGGTCCAACTTTCACAGCCATACATTGCAACTGGGAAAACCATGGCCTTGACTATACGTAGTTTTGTTGGCAGGGTAATGTCTCTGCTTTTTAGTATGCTGTCTAGATTTGCCATAGCTTTCCTCCCCAGGAGCAAGCGTCTTTTAATTTCTTTACAAAGCTCAATATTACCAAATAAGAAAATTAAATTAAAAATCATAGTACAGAATCCATAGACACATTACAAGCTTTCTCCCTGTATAGTTTTTTGTATAATAGGAAATTTGTCTGGAAGGATTCAGTAATACCTTATGATCATACAGTGACTCCAGAAGTCCTAGAGTTCAGAGACAGAGGTAGATTTCTCTTTAGTGGAAAGTTCTTTGGAGCTAAATCAGAATGCTCTTAGTTTGGTTTAGGCTCAGTGTGTTTTGTGAACCCAGAGAATTGCAATTTGCTCAGTAAATCACACCAAGTTGTGACCTAACAAGACATATGAACCCAGTACTGCTAAAAGGGGATTGCTAATCTTCTGGCTGATTGAATTGTCATTTAAGTATTCCAAATAAAACTGAAAACAAATGAGCCTTCAAGGAGAGTTATTTGTAACATGAATATAGAGTTGCTGGGCTTAAAAATAAAATGTAAAAGGACAGATGTGATAAGTAATACTTTGCTTACTCTGCTGTACAGACTATAGGGACAATGAAACAACTGCGCTTTAATCTGTATCAACAATTCTCTCAGTGGTGATCCTATCACAAAGCAGGTTTCAGGTACTATTAAGAGCAATAGAGTGGGAGGTAAAATGAATGGGAATTGTAAGAGCACTTATTTCCTGCTAAATTGAGGTCTAAGATTAATTAGTGGAAGAACATTGTCGCTTGGAATTTCTGCCTGAAAAAGGAAAATGCCCTGACTTCATCCTAATCTGATACCTTAGGTCGGAATCGCTTGCAATTTTGAAATGCGTATTCCATTTTTAGGAAAGTTGATTGTATATTGTATAAAGAGGTTACAAAGGGCATCTTCACCCAGATTATGCAAAATACTCTAAGATTATAAAATATCATCTTACATAACTTACATATACTCTCATCTAATCCATTTATTGTGATAAACCATTTTAACCATGATTTGGTAAATAAGACAAATGAGCTGAGTTTGCAAATCATGCTGAATTACAATGCAATTTATTGATTTTGGCTTCATGAAGTAGTTCTAGTATACTGTGATATGCTAACATGGAAATGGCCCAAGACTAATTGATTAAAGATTAATTATGTAGAGTTTTAATTAGAAGACTAAGCTGTGAATCAAAGAGACTCCTGTTCAGATCTCATTTTAGCTGTGAACTGAGAGTTACCTTAGATAAATCACTCTTCTTTCAGCCTCAGGCAGCTCATTCCAATCTAGAGGTAACTCTTTACCTGGCACCATTTACAGAGTTAATGGTGATGTTTTGACCATCAATAATGGTGGTGTTTTGACCCCTTCATGACAAGTAGAAATAAAGAAATGATATTAAGTTGGTTTGGTATGGCTTTAGCAAAAGGGCATAATAACTCCAAGGACCCTAGGATTCCCAGGTTGCTTTTAAGCAGATCCAAAAATATCAATGTGGATGTACGTATAACCTGACTGGAACTGGACATGTTGGGGATATTTGTTTGTTTTTGAACATCTGTGGGAAAGACCATCAATTCAATGTTTCTCAAACATGGCAAATTTAAGATACATGGACTTCAACTCCCAGAACTCCCTACACTGATCTAATTTTTGTCTGTTCATTTATATCCAACCTATTATTTTTACATAAACATATCCAACATACCTTCCTCCTCCTATTTTGCCCATAACAATTACCCTGTGTAGTGGGTTGGGCTGAGAGTGAGTGACTAGCCCAAGGTCACCCAGCTGACTTTCATGGCTAAGGTGAAACTTGAACTCATGGCCTCTTGCTTTCTAGGCCAGGAGTCCTGAACTCCCAGTCCGTGGACCGGTATCAGGTCGCAGCATGCCAGCAACCGGGCTGTACAAACAAGCAAAACCTCATCTGCAGGATGCAGGCAGCACACGAAACCACGCCCCCTCTGGTCCATGGAAAAATCTCTCTCCACGTAACCGGTCCCTGGTGCCCAACTGTTCTAGTCCACTAGATCTTATTACATAGTACATGTATCTCCCTGTTCACGTACTACTAATCAGTTCAAAGAGGAAAAAGACCTCCAAGAATGACAGGCATGTTGATAAAGAATTCTTTTCCCCCCTTAAGTCTGGTGAAACAAGCTCAGTATCTGGGTTTTCGAAACATATTTAATCTGATCAGCTACAAGCCAATGTCTGCATAGGCACAATATACTAACGCGGGAGAAAACCCGAACAACCAAAGACCTATAAACCTACTTAGTTTCAACTTTGCCTTATGTCTATGCATGTATGTGTATGGCTTAGGGTATTGCATAAATGTACCCTCTATTGTTTATTTTGCAATGTTTTATACCAAATCAAAAATAGATTGCTCTATGAATGCAGCTTTTCCTAACACCAAGGAAGCACATCATCATAAAATAGTGTAAGACCACAGAAAAGTTAGGTGTAGGAATAGCAGATACCTCACAATACCCTGTGAGCACTGTCAAAACCTACCAGTCACAACTTTCTCATTAATGATACCCACATGCTACCCCCACATATGGAAGAAGCCAACCAATGAAGGAGATATATGACCCCTGCCTCTTTATACATTCAGTGATACAGATCAACCCTTTCTAGTAGCAGGGTCAAGTATAAACTTACAATGTGAGCCTCTGAGCATCCTGTTAGAAAGCCATTTTTATGTTTTTCTAAGGATTGTTTTTGAGCATCAGGAGGAGCCATAGATCTCTATAGTCCTTTATACTTTCAGTAACACTGGATAGGGGATCTGAATAGAATACATTGTGCTAAAGGTTCGTGACTCAACCAAGGGTGAAAATATGACTTTTGAGAAGGAGAGAAGCAATTCCCTGTGATAGCAGCCATAACTACACAGAGACATTACAAAATCCCAGTTCATGATTGGAGAGAGACAGCTAGATAGCAGGAGATGGGCCTGTTATGGGAAGCGGCAAAGTAGACCTAATTACTTTGAATCTGTCTGAACTAAAGGTCCAACAAGTCTCAAGTGCTTGAATCTGCCGGTTGCTGATTCTCTTAGCATGTGAGTCATTTATGCAACAGTAGAAAACTTCCCAGCATATTGTCCTGTCCTGTACCTACATTTGTCAGGGAGTTTGAGTTTTCTGATGCTTCTCACTTCTGCTGCATAAACAAATGTAACACCGAGTGGGCTTTGATTCTGCTGTCTTCTTATAAATGGAAGGAAACATCTATCAGTCTGTATTCACAAATAGCTGGAGGTGTGTGGAATCTTAAAATGCCCTCTTTAACTTGATAGCAAAAGTGTTGGAAGCCTTTGATTCTAATAAAAATCTGTTTCTTCTAAACCACAATTATAATACAGTACCATGACATCCATTAGATTAACTAGTTGGGGGCTTCCCCTGCTGGTTTAGAAATGGGATTATCCACTTCATCTCCCACATAGACATGCACACAGACATAAATCCAGTCAGTTCAAATGCTATAAACAAGTAGCCCAGCCCTGCCCTGTGCAATATTCAATTTATTCAATTATCAGATTACTGAGACTAGTAGGGGAAGAGAGAGGACTATTGAAAACGCAAGCTTTGGTTTATACGATGGTAATATATGAGTGAAGAAGAAAATGTATACTGTTTTCCTGTTGATCTTGCCTTCAGATATTATCCCTGGGCAATGAAAGTTATACTGTAAGCCTTCACAGAGCATATGTGTATTGAGTAGATGTTTTGTGAAATGCCCTCAGATCATTGGAAAGATACATAATAAATTATAGGTAGTCTTTGATTTATGACCACAGTTGGGACCAGAATATTGATTGCTAAGGCAGTTATTAAGTGAATCACACCTGATTTTATGAACTTTTTTGCCTCAGTTGTTAAGCAACTAATGTGGTCATTAAGCAAATCCTGCTTCTCCCATTGACTTTGCTTGTCAGACAGTGATCACATGACCCCAGGATGCTGCAATTATTATAAATATATGCCAGTTGCCAAGCACTCATTTTTGATCACATGACCATGGGGATGCTGCAATGGTCGTAAGTGCAAGGATTGGTCATAAATCATTTTGTTCAATCCTGTTGTAATTTTGAACAATCGCTAAATAAACGATTGCAGGTCAAGGACTCCCTGTATGGCACCTTCAGAATCAGTGTTTATTTTTACTACATTTGTATAAAGTAGATTCTGAGTCAATCCAGAGCATAATGATTCAACCAATTGAGCTAAAGGAGCAATTCTGACTTGTTTGGATGTTTCTTGCATACATGCACGTGTGATTTCAAGTCCTAATAAATCTGAATTTGGAGATTTTGACTGAACTGATTTGCCTATCCCAAACAGTTTTCTAAGTGGATTCAAACACTGAAATGTAATCCGATCCATTTTTCAAATCAGTTTACAGGTACATGTTCAAATAAGAATTCATGTTCCTATTTATTTCCTAGTGTTTCTGCCCATCCCATAAGATTCAACAGGGTGAGCATGCTTCAAGTCCCCTATACTGTATGAAACAATGCCAATTGGTGGAACCAGCCAGAGTTGCTTTGGATAGGGATATGGGCAGCATGCAAATTTAATTTATATATATATATAAATTATATGTGTGTGTACACTCACACACACACATCCCCAGGAGGCATACATCCTGAGGTTCAGATGAACCTAATCCTATTGCCTTTGCCCCCAAGTGTAGGGCCAGGTTTTGGGTCTGTAACATATTGTAAGATCTTGGTGTTCCCTGAACTTAGCTGTTTTCTGGCAGTTGCATCACTGCACTGATGTTGTCACCTGGCCTGGTAATGAAACATCTGCAGGAAATCAACCAAGCTTACAGAATACTAAGAACCAACAATTGACTTGTTAACATGTGGAACCCATTAAACTGTTGCACTCTCCCTGTCTTTTTGTTATTGTACTTTGATTAACTGTAATTTTAAGGGTTGAATATTGTGATTATTAGGTGTGTTTTAATTGTGTATGCCACCCAGAGTTACATGCGAGTGAGATGGGCAGCCATGTAGATTCAATAAACAAACACACTATCAAACCCAGATCTGCCTATATCCTCTACAATGTACTATCATTTGGAAATATTATTGTGGTTTGGTCTCAGGTTGTACAATGTTCTCTGTTGCTTTTATTTTTGTCGGTTGTTCTGTTTCAACCTTATGTTAATTACCCAATCTCAATTTGTGAGTTAGACAGCCATATAAATCAATCTGTCAGGCAAACAAATCTAACCTGATTCTTTCACTTTTGACAGCTTCCTTCTTTGCAGGCATTCTCAATGTCATTTCAGCCAATGCTAAATCAGGTATTTATAGATAAGCAATGTTTCTTTCAGCCTCAATTCACCATATGCAATAAACACCAGAATAATAATATCGGGTTGCTTTACAAAAGTGTTATAGGAAATTTTGTGAAGAATTTTGGAAATCTGAAATTTCCTATGGAAATTGTAACCATTATTATGGTAGGAATTCAGTATTCTGCTCCCATAGTTTTGCTATGGCTTGATTGTGATTTTTTTGCTAATTCCTTCCAGCAAGAGCTATAGTAATTTTTACGTAATCGGACATAGTATCATCTCCAAGACATTCTTGTGTGATAGCTCTAGAAAATAGGCAAAAAGTACACATATCATCATTTTGAACCTTTCCGTGTCAATGTCAAGTAAGACAAGTAGTCTTGTTTGAAGGAGCTGATCTTGTCCTCTATTTATGTGGAGATCATAAAAGATAAAGGTTTCCCTTGTCCAGTCCTGTCTGACTCTAGGGGGAAGTGCTCATCTCTGTTTCTTAGCCAAGGGAGTCAGCATCGTCTGAACATGTTTCCGTGATCATGTGGCCAGCATGACTTTATGCTGAGATGCACGAAATGCTGTTATCTTCCCACCAAAGTGGGAAGATATTTACTTGTATTTGCATGCTTTTGAACTGCTAGATGGTCAGGAGCTGGGGCAAATAACAGGAGCTCACTCAGTTGTGCACTGCTTGGGTCGCGAATCTGAGCTGTCAGCTGACAAGCTCAGTGTCTTTAACCACTGAGCCATCACACCCTTTTGGAGATCACAATATATCAAAATTGGATGAAACTATATTGGAGAAAAACTGCAGGTTTATTATTGGCTATAAACCTGTGCAGGAAAATCAGAATCTGTTAAGTTTGTACAGTTAGCATGTGTACACTTCTGATAACAAAAACACTTAACCAGTTCCAGAGAAGTATCTATGCTGATCTTTCATAGTAAAAAAGTATTGCACATTTAAAAAAGCTACATGTACTCCTTAAAGACCAACAAATGTAACTACTACATTTTGATCTTCAAAACCAGTGATGAAAGCAATGGACTTCAAGATGTCCCAAGATGTTTGTTGTTCAAAATAGATTTGTATATTTTAAATCTATCTGTCTATCTGTCTGTCTGTGTAATAGATCTATATGTTTGTTACATGTGATTCTTCTGTATGCATATTCTGCATGCATATTTGCTTGGATAATTGTAAAACTGATGAACACAGTACTGTCACAGTAATATAAAGTGGGTATATCTGTTTTGTATCACATCAAAGCCTACATTTTTAAAGATGCATAACTATGATTCAAATGGATATCTATGCATATAAAGTAGAAATATAGGTTTTTTTTATCAATACAGATACCATAGAACACATATATGAATATGCACACATATGGCAAAAAGCTGTAGATAATGTTGCTTCCCTCTTAGATAACAATGTCAGGTTGTTGATGAATAATATGTGAATTGTTTAATGTGGCTTCCTTTTATTTCTTTTTACTGAATTGTATCACAACCAGGCATTTTGTTTCTTTTAATGGTGGTGCATTTGCCCAACTCAGTTTTGGCACTTGAAATAAAAAAAATATCCACATATTTTTCTTCCCATCTTTGGTGATGAAAATATGTATCTGTGATTAATTAAATGGCAAACAATTTGCTATATGTTCGTGACATGGAAGTCTGTTGAGACAAATGCCTCACTATGCCAACATGTCAACAAAACCATACAAATAAGGTGACTTTCAAATCGCCGTGTACAAAATAGTTTTCCAAACTTGAAACACTTCCAAAATGACTGAAGCAGCCAGTTGTAAGTGGGATTTCAATTGTCTTTGGAATCTCAAAAGGAGACATTTTGAAATGGTGACAGTTCAGTTCTGAAATATTTTATACATTTCTCAACCCAACACAGCTGTAGTTAATTGCAAAATCAATTCCACTGAAGGCAACAGCATTTACATTATATTAAGGCCTGATAGACTATACTAAAGCTGGATGGCCATTTGTAGTTGTACACTTAAAAGAGGTCTGTGAAGTCCTTGGTGCTCCCTAACCTTGATTGTTGGCTTGCAGATATTTCATCATTATTAAACTAGGTAATGTTACCTCGTCTGGTAATGAAAAGTCTGCAAGCCAACAGCCACGCTGGAACAGCACCAAGGACTCCACAGTTCAACCCTGAGCTTGAGATATTCTCTTCTATTAAAAGGGGTCCCACAATATGATGTGTTGGACTACAATCTCCAATGACAGAAATCATGGGAGCTGTAGCTGGAGAGCCCACTTTGCAGAAGGCTGGTCTACCATCCTGTGACATCTAACATACTATAAAAGTGCCAACGCAATTAACGTCTTCGCAAACAAGAGTGTCCCACAGGTACAGCCCAGCAAGAAGCTGTTTGATTGGCTGCAGGGTCCTGTTGAATGTGCGGGGCAGGAGGCGGGCAGGAGACTCGGATTCTTTGTCACGTACCTTGCGGAGGGAACTGGAGAACTCACAAAGCTATTCGGAAATAGCAGGCCACCAGGCTTCATAACGCGGCGTACCCAGAAGGCTCCCTTTTCCCCAACCATACAGTTTGGGAACGCTTGACCCTTTCCCCAAAGCTCAGGGAGACGGGCGTGGAGGCAGAATCTGACCTTCCTACCCACTTTGGCAGCACTTAATTTGCCAAGCCGCGTGCCGCTCGTCTCCTCAAGTCAGCCGCCGCCGCCGCGCCGCGTCGCCTCTTCTTCCTCCCCCTCGGCCCCCACTCTTCCTCCTCCTCCCAGAAGAGCTCGCCACGCCGCGGGTCCGCCGGCAAAAGCCCAGCAGGCCTCAGGTTCCTCGCCGTCTCTACCCCCTCCCGCTAGGCTGAGGCTCGCCTGGTGCTTGCTCGTAGTGCGCAGTGCCTCTGCAACAACGGCAGGAGCCGAAGGAACAGGCGGCTCGCTCGAGGCTGGAGAAGGCAGGCGGCGGCGGCAGCAGTAAAAGCGGCGGCGGCTCCTCCCCCTCCCCCTCTTCCTGCTCTCCCCCTCGGACTCCCGCAGGCAGGATGGTGGCCGTAGCCCTGCAGCCCTCTGCGGGCCGCGGGGCGGGTCTGTAGCTGGCGTGGGGTGGTGCCCTTTGCAGCAATCGGGAGCCGAAGGCGCCGGGCGCCGGGCGCAGCGCAAAGCGCCCGTGCGCCCCTTCTCCTCTCGCTCTCCATGGACGGGGGAGCGGGAGGTGGCCCCGGGGTGCCCGGTTCTGAAAACCCCAACCGCGCCGTGGAATATCTGCTGGAGCTCAATAACATCATCGAGAGCCAGCAGAAGCTGTTGGAAACCCAGCGGCGGCGGATCGAGGAGCTCGAAGGGCAGTTGGAGCAACTGAACCAAGAGAACCGGGACCTGCGGGAAGGAGACAGAGAGCGACACCGAGATCGAGACCGGGACCGGGACCGGGACGGGCAGTATCACCACAAGGAGAGGGAGAGCCACTATCAGAACCGCACGGATCGAGACGGGCAGTATCAGAACCGGGAAGGCCAGTATCCCAACCGCGAGAACCGGACGGACCGCGAAGCTCCGTACTCGAACCGAGCCGACCGGGAGAGTCAATACCAAAGCAGAGCCGAACGGGAAGGGCAGAACCAGTATCAACATCGGGACAAGGAACGAGATCTACAGCACTATGGAAACCGGGATGGGCAGTACCAGAACCGGGAGAGCCACTACAGGGAGCCCTGCCAGTTGCATCGAGAGCGGGCGCCGCAGTGCCATCAGGCTCGGGAGAAGGAGCACGAGTACCCTCGACCACCCCGGGAAAGGGAGAGGGGGCAGCTGAACCGTGGGGCGTCGCGGAGCTCCAGTCCTGGGGCAGGCGGAGGCCACAGCACCAGTGCCAGTACCAGCCCAGCCACCACGCTGCAGAGAAAGTAAGAAGCTGGTCCGAGCCTTTGCAACCCCCTGACCTAGTGCCCTGCCTGCTCCCCTCCTTGCCGGTAGCTTTCTGGCCCAGAGGGCAGGCAGATTCCAGGAGCTCTTTGGGGTTGAGGTGACTATTGGTGGTGCTGGCTGAGTCGTTTACAGTCAGAGAATCAGTGTGTGCAGTATCACAAGGGACCATGGGGAACCCTTTGGAGGTTGGTGCTTGGGTGCAGTGCTTGGGTGGTGGAGGGGGAGGGAAATCAAAATATTATAGGTCTGCTCTCTTATCAGCTTTCTGCTGTACTTTGTTCCCTCCATTCTAGGCTTTTGAATCTTGTTACAGTTACAATTAAACCCTGCCCCCATCATACATACACAAACACACACCAACTGCTTCCATCACCCATAATTAGGTGGATGGTGCTCTGCTATGCCACCCTCACAGTGGGGTCTGTTTTGTTTCCTCAGCTGGTTTTCCTTACTAGATCCCTGCATTGAACCCTGCGTAGGACCCCTCCCCCCTCACTGCAGGCTGCTCCTTGGCCAGTTGCCCAGAAGCTTCTGTGGCCCACTCTCCTTCTTTGTCCCTTCAAACTTCAACCTTACTTTCAAGCACCACTTTCCCTGATTCAGCACATGGACTTTTTTGCTTTCCTAACTTGCCAACCTGGATTCTTTTCCTTCAACACTTTGCTGGGGCTTGACTTTCTCATTTTTCTGCAGAGAAGGGAAGACAAGCATAAAAGGTCCTTCTCGCTGCAGCGGACCACTCCAGGGAGTGCTCTCTTTTGCCAGCCTGGCGTGGTTCACCCCTGTAAACTCCAAATTTAAATTTAAATTTAACATTCATACTTTCCAAAAACTCGTGAATTCTTTTTTTCATATTGGTGCTCCTAAATGTTTCCCTCCACACCTTTCATGGCTCTTCCCTCCCTCCCTATAGAACCCATAGAGGGCAAAGTGTTATTCTTAAATGAAAGTACATAGCAACCCCAGTGAGCTTCTGTTTCCTGAATCCTCAGATGAATTCTTTCATTTATTTCCTGGCCAATATTGGGGGAGTGATAGGGAAGAGCCTTTTAATGGAGTAAAATCTTCTTCTTCTGCTACGTACTATGTTCTTTTGTCTCTTTTGTTTGGGACATGTTTAGTAAGGCCTGCTCTTTCTTTCTGCCTGGTTTGCAGTACGCACTTGTATCCATGTCCCTTTTTGTCTTGCCAATCTTTAGCGGCTAGCGTTCCTCCAGAGCTTCTTCTAATGGGATAACTCACAATCTGGACACTAACTGGGCCTGGTGGGATGTGACTTCAGTTAGCTCCAGCAGAGAGAGTTGGTATTGAACTAAGGCACCAGGAACTAGGCATGCATAGGATGTGGGTGTGAAATGGTATTGCATGGGCTGTGTGGTTCATGGCACGTGCTGAGGATTGAGTTCAGGAAAATGTGATCCCTGGGTGGGGAAGAGAAGATGTAGTTGATTTAAGGTGCAAGTAAAAGCGTAAGTTTTGAGTGAGTTTGAGAAAAGAGCAGAGCCAAGAAATGTTTTGCTGCCTTTCAGATGTGTTGAACTGCACTCTCATCATCTATAGCGATGCAGCCTGGAAGTGATGGTGATTATCATGTATCTATTCTGGGGGAAACAGCTTTGAAAAAGTGAGCGTAGTTACTAGTGTGTGAAAATCAATTATAATAATCACACATTTGGCACTATCTACATTATTACCGGAATAGTTACAGCCACGCAAGATAGGCCAGCAGTATTATATTCCTAATGAAGATTTGCAGGAAAACAGTGAGGTGCCTGAAGCCTTCAGATGAACTGTTATAGAGGCAACATTTGCACCTATGATCTTACCTCCTAAATATAAAGCTAGGTTATGTTATAAAGCATTATTTTCAAACTGATAATTCTGTTTCTTCCGACTACTGGATTCTGGCCTCAGGATTCTCAGACCCTGCTGGGATTCCTTATCCGTGATCTCTGTGGGATGAAATGAACAACCTACAAGCCATGTATATCTCCTTAAACTTCATTTAAGCTCTCCCCGATTGTGTAGCTGAAACTTGGCAATGCTGTTGCCGAAGATCAGTAGCCCAGTTTTGAGGTGAATGACAACCACATTGCTATGTATGGGGTTGGTTGAGGATTATGGGGATTGTAGTCAGACCCATCCAGAGGGTACCGGTTTGGGGGATGCTGCACTAGGGTGTCTGATCCAACGCCACGCCGTCAGACTCTGTGCTCCATAATTGATAGTTCCTGGCTGGAGAATCACAGCGTTTGAATGCCAGCAGCACTGCATCTTGGACATGGATTTCAGAACAGGATCGACTCTCGTGGTCCACAAGCTTGGATTGAAAGCTAAGAAGCAGCTAAGCCCGAAGAATTGAGCATCTTCCCTCAGAGGGAATGGATATAGGGGTGGCTGTGTGGGGTAGGAATTGATGGATCGAGCCATTCCTGTTCTTTCTCTCTCACTCTCCTCATTGCCGCCTCCTTTTTCTGGTTAGAAATTAGCAAAGTGGTTTGATGCTGCAAATGACTTAAAATCAGCACAAATGTGTCTTGCCATTCCCGCCCACTCCCTACCAACACTGGGGAGGTTTTTTTTAAAAAAAAGCCTGAAGTAGCAATGCGGGTGGGGTGGGGTGGGGTGGGGGGAATGACTGATCCTCTTCTCCATGCTGGCAGAAAGCTAGAAATGACTAGAGACAGTCCTTCTTTCCTCAACCGAACTAATAACTATGACTTTCCTTTCTTGTTTTATTCTGAGCAGGGAAATAAGTTCAGTCTCTAAGATCTAGCCAGTAACTCAGTTAGTTTAGCTTAATAGTTAAAAGTGTGACTTATGCACCTTATCTGAAAGCCCTTTTTCAGGTTTCATTTCAGCTCTAAACTTGTTCAATGGTCTTAAACCTATATTCATCGGCTCTTCCTTTGCAATAGGGAGATATTTAACACCAGTTTATCTTAAAAGGCCAAGGTAAAGAAGAGTGAGAAAATAGGCATACTTGCCTTGATAAATAGTCATTTTCATCTGTGGTTGCTTAGTGTTGTGAATAATAGCTTCCTACAGCATGCAGAGAACAGTTGAGGTCTTCCAGTGACCCAATCCCTATCAACCTCTGTGGGGGTTGGGGTGAGGGTGTCTGTCTGTCTGTCTCTACTGCCTTTTACACTGCTTCCAAGGGAATTTCTTTTTCATTGGTCTGTTGTGATTGCCGCATGTGACAAAACATGTGGCTGTTCAAATCATCTCCCCCAGGTTTTTTTTTCTTTTTTACAAACAGCTTTTTATAATTTTTTTTGTAAACCAATCTGGTTAATTTGCTAGAAGCACTGGGCTAGCCTGTGTTCCCGAGGCAGGTTTGCTAATTCAGGAAACTAACTTCATGTTAGTTTCATGCTAACCTCATGATAAAAACATACCTTGCTAGATTTGAGACATTAGGAGGAGCAGTCACTCAGATGCCATACTAATTGATCTCTCCTGCTATGGCTTGTAAATATGTGAATGGAAAAAGAGAAACAGATTCTCTGCCTCAGCACCCTTCTGGCTTTGTGCATAACTTATCAGATATTTCTGAGGTGTTCACTATGTAATGCTGGCAAATCACAGGATCATTGACCCCAAGACCATGAGATAAAAGACAAAGGGAATTAGGCATCTTTTAGAGCAGTGGTTCTCAACCTTTCTAATGCCGCGACCCCATAATACAGTTCCCCATGTTGTGGTGACCCCCAACCACTTATACATCACCGGGTGCCAGGGGCGTGGCCAAAGAAAAGGGGGGAAAAATGGCGGACAGCCTTGTTTGGCGACCCCCGTGAAATGGTCGTTCGACCCCAAATGGGGTCCCGACCCACAGGTTGAGAACCACTGTTTTAGAGCCAGGAATGTGGGCGGTTGAAGCCAAATCTAATACAGGGAATTTATAAATTGGGTTATCACTGCAATTGTAATGAAGTTCATCTGTAGGTTCTATCGTATGCTGTAGCCAACTCTCAAAAACAGAATCTACTCACACAACATATCAGAACATAGCTAAATATATTTTGGTCTTGTGTATTGTGCAAACTCAACCCCATATGCCTAGTTTATGGTTAGGTTTAGCATTCAGAATAATAATAAGAATGCTCTTTTTAAACAGCAGTTACTCCTGTTTCTTTTTTTCATTTCTAGGAGAGAAATATACATTATGAGGTAGTTAATATTAAAAATGAGGTTGGATTTCAGGCAATATCACCATGCCAGTAACCGACTTGTATAATCCTCGATCACAATAAGAATAGAAAATGGATGGCCGCAGGGTGACCATGGTGTTGAAGATATGGCCAGTCAGGCATTTTTAATCCTGTCTTAATATTAGGAAAAGAGCAGCTTTATTTTTTTAAACAACAATTTTCATTAAAGTACTTTTAACAAGATAAGAACAATACAAATTTTAGAGAAGAAACAAAAAGAATAAGTAAAATAATGGATAAGGAAGAAAAGAAAGAAAGAAAAAAGATGAAAAAGAAACGGCTTCCAATCTTCTTAACAATGGTTATAACTGTATTTACATTTTGGCCCCCCCTCTTAAGATTACATCATTTCCTTTCCTAGTGTACCTGAAATTTCTAATCATCAAACCCCTTAAATCGGAATTTAATGGTAATTATCGTCTTCACAAACCATTCCTCCACTGTTGGTATTTCCATTTTTGTGCATGTAATAGTCTCACAGCAGTAGGCAAAGAGCAGATTTAAAACTGCCTGTATCTAGAGGTGCTCCAGGTTGCTAACTCTCTCCTTCCCATAAGACTCCAAAAGAATGGATTCTTTCTCTCTCATATGCACACCACCAAGAACAGAAGGTAACAGAGGAGATACAGTGGAGGAGAAACAAGGAAGTTACGGGCATAAACTGTCGCTAGGTATTCTAGGCAATGGACCCAGGACTGTGGTGTTCTTTTTAAGCAAGTACTGCCTGTTTTAGCACAATGTCTAGTTTGACCTGAAATGCT